TCCTGTTAAATTCTGTGCTGATGTATTCCCTTTACACAGATGTCCCTCTATAACGCTTTTTTGAAGCAAAGTAATATCTTAAATGCCGTTTTAGTTAAAAAAAATGACTAGTGAGCATGAAAAAAATTCTCAAAATGCCAAGGGTGTTTTGATCAAAGCTGCTTACTGTCCTGACTCAGTGCATGAAATCTTGCGTTTCCTGCTTTTATTGCACCTATTGTATGTTATTTGTGTGAAATTCTTCATGATCAGTATGAATATTTCAAAGAGCTACACAAAGAACAAGGCTACAATTGACCGACAACATACAGAGCGGGCGCAGCTGTAGTGTCGACTTTTACTAGTTTAGAAGCGTTAGTGATGCATGCTACCATACAAGCCATATGGCCTGCAAGCAGGCTTACCTGTGCGAGTTCGGGGAAGGAGTTCGAGGAAAATTTTGGCAGCGGAAGCCTGCACGCGCGAGGGCTTCCCCGAACTCCCACAAGTGAGCCTGCTCGCAGGCTACAAGCCATAAATCTTCAAATGGTCTTCCCGTCTCAATTGAGATCTTCTTAGCGAAAAGCAAGTGAGCAACCCTTGATGTCTGAATTAAAGACAAGTTGTACCCACCTCTTCGAACTTTTCCTGGCTCCACGTGTCATCATAACCGCTATAATTCCCTGGGAAATCAGTGCTGTGAGTCTGAAGAAATAGATTGCAATAGTTTAAGTGCCAAGCTTCTTACTTCCTATCAATAACAACTGATAAAAGGTAATCAACTCACGTTAATCACGCCGTGTTCTTGCAGAGTAACTCTTGTTCGTATGTCCTCCACAGACGCCATCTTGGAATTAGTTGGGCCCAGCTCCTCTCTACCCGAGAAAGTTATGGCTGGGTGGGTCTGGACACTAGGAAAGAGCAGCGCGCGACAGAAGTTTCCAAACGAAGGCAAAGTGGGCAATACTCCTCTACCCTGCAGAACAGGCGTTATTTTTTCGCCTTTTTTAGTCCTACAACACGGACTGCTGCTGCTATTCTCTTTCTCTCCTTTTGCTCTCTCCTTTTTTTGCTTCTCTCTTCCCCCTTTCCCCCAGAAACGCCTGATACTCAGGCTAACTCCTAAGTGCTTTATCTCCATGTAAATTCAATAAAATCGATGATCGACTTCAATGTTTTCTTCCACCTTTCACGTACATGCTATTTGACAGTCGCCCCAGTCCTAGCTCAAAACTCGCAAGAAATGCAGGTGGCGCATACTTTCTGCAACTCTACTGCAAAAAAAGCACGGTGACCCTCATTTTTTATTTAATGATTTTAATAAAGACAATGCATCCTTTCAATGAGAAAAAAAAAGTGACTAAAGCCATGTCTAGTATTTTGGCAATTCCATGACCGGCGAAGCGGGAAGTTGTATCACACACGTGCACTGTTAGGGCATGGAGGACAGGGAGACCAAGGGCCTTTGCAAAGAGTTGTCCCATACGACACCCAAAATTCCTTCAAGTTGAAATAAGCCTGTTCCAGGATCCAAGATATTGAGGAAAACGGAGCGAGAAAAACGCGTGAAAGTTCGAATCACTAGTGACCATTTTCTACTGCATCAGATACATGAACTATCATTTTTAAGTCCGCTTAGACTCCGTACGAACAGAAGCATACTTGGATTTCTAAAGTCATTTTTCTTTTCATCATGCGATCCATTTATTATAATCCTGTTGAACGCATCACGACAATCTATGCCACACTGTAGCAAACGACTTGCTAATGTGGAAGCATTTCCATTTACCACGTCAAAACATTTCCAGGCAATTGCTAAATTTACTTTCCCTGCCTCATAATATAACGTCAAGTCTCGTTCAAAAGTATAAAGGTATCCAGCACCAGAGTTGTATTGTTTCCAGTTAACAGGACACTGAGGTTTTTCAATTGTTTCCTTCTGGCAAATAACACATTTTAACATTTTAACCAGTCAATAGCTTGCTTCTGCCAATTAATCCATTTCTTACTTCCTCATTTTAAACCGATGGGTTTCTCTTTTATATGACTAGAAAAGTTTCTTTTTTTAGCTGCACAAAGTCGCATGCACATTTAGAATGAAATAGTACGAACTCTAACCATCCGAACCAAGAGACAAAAAGAGAAAAAACATGTACAGATAAAAAACTGCGGCCTGTATTTATATAATGAAGAGAAGAAAATAACAATTCGCATCCACACTTAAATATTTGTATTGTTGTACTTGTATTTTAAAATAAAATTTCCATTAACGTTAAAAAAAGAGCAAGAAAATATACTTCACGAGGGGTTTTGGGTCTCAAAATTTCATTTGCTGCTAACTAGCTGGAATTAGAAAATTTAACTTGGCACCATATCGGGAATTGACAGGTCTATGAATGTAAATATTCCTACAAAGTGGTGCTTGCATCAAAAATCGCATAATTCTGAAGTTAAGCAGCCGGACTAAGATGCTAATAACGAAAAAGAATTTCTACACNATCTATGCCACACTGTAGCAAACGACTTGCTAATGTGGAAGCATTTCCATTTACCACGTCAAAACATTTCCAGGCAATTGCTAAATTTACTTTCCCTGCCTCATAATATAACGTCAAGTCTCGTTCAAAAGTATAAAGGTATCCAGCACCAGAGTTGTATTGTTTCCAGTTAACAGGACACTGAGGTTTTTCAATTGTTTCCTTCTGGCAAATAACACATTTTAACATTTTAACCAGTCAATAGCTTGCTTCTGCCAATTAATCCATTTCTTACTTCCTCATTTTAAACCGATGGGTTTCTCTTTTATATGACTAGAAAAGTTTCTTTTTTTAGCTGCACAAAGTCGCATGCACATTTAGAATGAAATAGTACGAACTCTAACCATCCGAACCAAGAGACAAAAAGAGAAAAAACATGTACAGATAAAAAACTGCGGCCTGTATTTATATAATGAAGAGAAGAAAATAACAATTCGCATCCACACTTAAATATTTGTATTGTTGTACTTGTATTTTAAAATAAAATTTCCATTAACGTTAAAAAAAGAGCAAGAAAATATACTTCACGAGGGGTTTTGGGTCTCAAAATTTCATTTGCTGCTAACTAGCTGGAATTAGAAAATTTAACTTGGCACCATATCGGGAATTGACAGGTCTATGAATGTAAATATTCCTACAAAGTGGTGCTTGCATCAAAAATCGCATAATTCTGAAGTTAAGCAGCCGGACTAAGATGCTAATAACGAAAAAGAATTTCTACACGCGAAAGCCACGCGACTGTGAAGTGCCCGCGCGTGTTGCCCTCCTTTTCTCTTTTCTAACATCTGCTCATTGGTTGTGTCTGAAATTTTTCTTAAATCTCGTAACAAAACTACCCCCAAATACACAGCTTTACAGGAATTTATTACTAGATAGCTATAAGCTGAGCAAAGAGTTCAACTAAAATAAAAAAAAATCTTTCTTGTCCCGCCTCACTTTTTTTTTTCAACTGAAGCTAATCTCCCTTCTTCAAGAACCACCAACTTGTGCTAGAGCGTTACAGTCAATCTAGGGGTGCGTTTCTTCGGAGAAATCCAAATTTCCATTCTTGAATCCAATGCGGATTTTGTGTTTCTTTACTAAACAAAAAACACTCCAAGTGGACTCCCGTACCGGATCAATCAAAAGCCGGAATTATAGGATTCATGGTCGTGAGTTTCAGTGTGCGGGGATGCAAAAAATAGGACACCTGGCAGGTGGATTTACTGGGAAAGAAATATGAAACCTGCGACGCACTCTCACCGGGTCGCGTCAATGTTACTGTAACGCTAGAGCCTATTTTCCATATAAACATCCGGTTCGACCGAGTCGCCCCAATTGGTAGGGAGCTTTAACAACGACGACGGCGCCAGCATTGAGAACAACAAAGAAAAAAGTAAAAAAACAATAATTCTGCTCGTGCAGCACACTTTTTTGTAAAGTTTCTTTACCGTCACTGGAAGACTACTGCGACATTTTACTAAGGACGTATACACACGACATCGAATTTGTCTTTCTCCTTCTAAACTTTGTTTCGGTCCTTGACAATCAAAACAAGAGAAATTCACCTTATACATTTGGTATCATAGGAATATCCCAGCGCTCTTCTTTTTTTTTTCCACAATTGAGGGTAAAAAAAATTAATGTCGGACCCATTAAATTTTTATAGACGACCGCAAACTTAAAATAAATACGGAAACCCAGTAAATTGCGCCAAAGGTCCCCAAGGTTTTGGAAAACTCCCATAGTCTAAACGATTCAGACGGTTATATCAAAACCAGGCTTTAAGAAACCATTTTCGTTCTCTGTTGTTGTTGTTTCTGTGGTCGTAACATTTTCAATTCACCAAAGAAATACACCCCTAGCTTTTAACATTATTAACTCAAAAGTATATTTTCACTGAAAATTGATAGAATAACTAAAGTTAAAAAAAGTCAAATTCACCAAGCCTCAAAGAGAACAACGAATTTCCAATCCGGTAATACAATAAACTCATTTTACCATAACATAGACTCCAAAAAACACTTAAAGGATAAAAACTAACTCGACTTGAACGGTCGATTACAGAATTTTGGCTAATTTTGTCCAGATAATTTTATCTCCCATATTTTGCATTAAATTGTATACAAGTACACTATCTTAACCGGTAAATTAAGGTTTATGTGATATTTTTNAAAATAACTTAAGTTAAAAAAAGTCAAATTCACCAAGCCTCAAAGAGAACAACGACTTTCCACGGTAATACAATAAACTCATTTTCCCATAACATAGACTCCAAAAAACACTTAAAGCATAAAACTAACTCGACTTGAACGGTCGATTACAGAATTTTGGCTAATTTTGTCCAGATAATTTTATCTCCCATATTTTGCATTAAATTGTATACAAGTACACTATCTTAACCGGTAAATTAAGGTTTATGTGATATTTTTTTAAATAGTTATTCTCTTTAAACGCCTTCAAACGCAAGTTACCACAATTTGTTAAACACCACTTTTCAAACCATCAAATAAATTCCCAGTCTTCCTCGCCAGAAAACAACGCGCTATAAGTCCGCGGTTTGAACGGAGACTGGGTCCCATAAAAATGCTGTGTTTTACGCTGAAACAACTTTCCATTTTGATCGATGGCCCAGAGCTCATCGTCCGGAGTGACGGAAATCAGTTCAAAGTTACCCGGCACTTTCTTCCAGTAGTGTCCTAGACAATTGTCCTCACTGACCCCGTACCTACACACGATATCTCCATTGGGACAAGTGGCCCACACCATGTACTGGCTGATAGCTAAGTCGCGCACTCCCGTCCCGGGTACTACTTCCCAGGAGGTGCCTATAGGGTAGCTTGGTGTTACATTATGCCGTGCGTACACGTTGTTTCGATCGTCCACAGCCCAGACAACGCGATCCGCTGGGCTTACTTCTACCTTAGCAAAGCGGCATCCCGGCAGGGGACTCCCGTCTACCGGAATCCAAGCCTGGGTCACAGATGGGTCGCTAGAGTCTTCCTTTCCGATGCGTAGCCAAACACTCCCCATGTCGTCCACAGCCCATGTGCTGAGCGAGCCACAGCTCAGGTGAAAAACCTTACCGACGCCAAACTGCTGCAGCCCCAGTTCTACCCAGCCGAAGCCTTGAGGGCAAGTCTCTGAAATCCCCGTTCGTTGTACCACTTTGAAATTATGCGTGATTCCCCACAAGTTGTTACAAGACGCTGAAATCAGTTTTAAAACCTTTCCTTGCGGAGGCTCAACAATCAGCGGTCTCGCTCCGGGCTGGAAACACATTAGTTCTCCATTAGGCTGTAACGCCCACACGTGACCTGCATCTCCTCTGTATGAGCCCGCGGAGAGGTATGTCCAGAAAACTGATTGGGCGATACCTTGAGGTGTTACTGCATCCCATCGCGTTCCCAGCAGGTGGCCACGAGAAGACTGGATCGAGTTCCCACTCCCTAGCAACCAGACTCCCGCTTTGGGGCTTGCAGTTAAGAGTTTCACGTCGTCTCCTCGTAAGACCCATGACCAAAGAACTTCCAGTAAACTGCGATTTTGCATCAAGTACTGTCCGAGAGAAACTTGGTACCATGAATTGCCAGTGGGGTTTTCATGAGTAACGTTAGTGAACCAAAGTGAGCCTTTCATGTCCACAATCCAAGCTACACCCTCAATTCCAAGACATATGCACTTGGCTGTAATACCTAAGACATATACAAAAATGTCAGTCTGTAGTGAAAGTCACCTTCCTAGATTGTACAGCATGGGATTCCCACCAAACCTTAGCTAACTTTTTGGGACTTTGATGATTGTCTGCGAGTACTCTCACCACTGCGCCATCCTTGCTTCCCCAATGCGAAATTGTTAATAAACAAGACCCCCATAATGGGGGTTCATTGGTCTGCCGACTGCGCACTTTTAAGCCGGAGCTGTATAGTAACTTCTACCGTTATAAAGAAAAATAGGCAAGTTGGCCTTTTGAAACAAGAAGCTATTGGCATTATTTTTAACTGGGAATTCTGTAACGCACCCCTTAATTCAATCCCTCTGCTCCCCAGATTATAGCGTGACAGTATAACGTGACTAAATATTCCAAAAAAATATTGTCGTTCTACGCTTATAACGTGACAGGGTCAACTTTCGGGGTTTCAAATAATGTTATACAACAGTAATTTTCTTTTTCCTTTCAAACTCTCAAAGTAAATTAAACTTTCAGTTTTATTTCAGTCGGATATTGCATTCATCGAATACTGGTATTTAGATAATCATTCGGCGTAGAAATAGGGCCAACAACTCCACGCAATAATTTTGTGTTCGTTCCAAATCGACTTCCGAGTCAGTTCACCAGACGACCTGAAATGACCGGTCCCCTCCCCACAAAAATCGGCCCCATTAAGGGGGGAATGGGACACGCAAAGCCTTCTGGGATTTCCGTCCGTTATTTTGTCTTCTTGGACATAGATGGAAGATATTTCTTGATTGGGCGTTGCCCTCACGGGCAGCCCAACAAAAAGGCAATGAATGAATGGGAATACCAACAGTTTACAAATGGAGAACTGAGATAATATAGCTGCATCTCAATCCAATCTAAAAGCAAACATACTACACTTCTTATGTAAACACACCTGGCAACATTTCCCAGTTGGTTTTCTCGGCTGGTCTTACCATGTCAACGCCTATAAGTTGAGAAAAGCAATGTCAGGGATAAGCACTCGTCATTTCGCCCTTTAGCACCCCTCCCTATCTCTTCTCTTACTGAACACAACGGGAACGGTCTATGATAGTGGCAGAGTACATGCAATCTGGTGGGTAGCCTGTTCTAGGTTTCAAGATAGTGGGCAAAGGATTCTGCGAACGGACCTCTGGAGCTAAGGTAAGATTTTCCCAACAAACGAAAACCAGGGGTTTTACAACTCTCACAAGTGTAATTTACAGGTATAGCAATTGTTTTCAGACTCTACAACAATGGATACACTTGTAAATTACACTTGTAAAAGTTTTATAACATTTACCCCAAGCTTAAGGGTTGAGCAAGGCATCAAGATCGAGAAGCACATTCTAAGATTTGTCATGTTTTCTAATTTCGCTTTTTCAGTTTTAGACATTAAATAATTAAGTATGACAAAACACAACACCTTTATAAACGTGGATGCAGTTTGTCTGGTCCACGAACCACGCCAAGCCGTTAAAACAGGACGCCTGTACAAATTTACTGTCTGTTAGAATGGTTCGCCATCCTTTGCCTGTGGGGTGTTCCTTGGACACGTCTGTTCTCATGAAAACGTCACCGTTAAGCTAAAAACAAGACAATGAGATGTATGTTTGCTGAGCATCAAGCTAAGGAGCATTTCAGGTCTCTTCTTAACTTTGCACTTACTTTAAAAAGTTAGAAAATTCAAAAGTGTTTGGAAATGCAGTTACCTGCACACTGTACCTCCCTCTTAACGGACAACTGCATAAGACGGGCACCTCCCTAAAGAGGACACCTGGATCTGGCCCCTAAAAGGCGACAACTCTCTAAAGCAGACACCGACATTTGGTCTCTAAAAGGTGGACAATTCCCTAAAACCGACACCTACATTTGGTCCCTATAGGACGGACACCAACCTAAAACAGACATTTAGATTTGTTCCCTAAAAGGTGGACACCTTCCTAAAGCGAAGACATCTAGAATTGGCCCCTCAAAAACGACACCTCCCTAAAACGGACATCTAGCGCTGGTTCCAAAACACCCAACGGATCAGTCTCAGGCGCGGATCTAGGATAAATACTGACCGTTTTCCAAAACGAGCGTCGAAGGCGTAAGCTTCTAGGGGGGTCCGAGGCATGCACCCCGTGAATTTTTATTTTTTTTTTTTACTCCCCAAAGTCGCTTTTCCTGGGTTTCTGAGTCATTCAGTCAGGATATTGGTCGGATTTTAACTTGTAAAGTTTTTTCACGAAAATTTATTTATCTATGAAAACTCTGACCGATTTTCGTAAAACGGTGGAAACCGGTGTGGATCCGCGCCTGAGTCTTTAAGTGATGTTACACGATTTTTAGGGCAGTATGTTGCAAGACAAGTTGCACGTTTTTTGTTGCCCGTTTTTCGGTACCTTAAGTGAGAGAAGAAAACCTCTTTGAGTTTAGCTGTAAGAGTCCGCTATTATTGTGAAACGTAACAATAGCTTTCTTGTACTAAAAACATACCTTTGTTAGATTTTTTTTTGTTCCGCTTTTGTTTTCGAAACACGATCTCTCCAAAGTCTTGATGTCTTATATCTTGGTATCTTTTAAAAGGATCCACATGATCGACTGCCAGTGAACTACTTTTTTCGGACGCATCAAAAGTCCCTACTGAAACAGGCTCAGAGATCTTGTCCTGAAACACGCAAGTCGCGTAATACAGCATATCAGCTTGGACATTTTCTAAAATCGCCTTTCCAAAACAAGCGTGAAATAACGTAAAGAAACAGTTGTAGCAGAGTAGAGCTGCAAATGATTTATAATACAAATACAATGCAGTAGAGTTGACTAGGTTTCCCAAGAGGATGTTCCTGAGTTACAACGTTTTAACAATACTAACATTACAATAAAGGTGCAGCTACACACAGCTACAGGTATACCTCAATCCCAACAAACTACAAACTCACCAAAAAATTATTTAATCTGAACATAATAATTTCGAGCATTATGGGTTTTAAAAGTGACACACAGTATTGACTTTTACGTTTCGCTTTCTCTCCTGCCCTAGCTCTTGCCACTTTTTGTTTTTGTTGTTGTTAATGTTGTTTTTCTCTTTTGTAAGTAAGCTTCATTTTCGTGGGAAGAGTTGCAGGGAAAACTTTTGGAAAACGAGTTATCTGTTCTTGTACTTACATTGTTTACAAGTGGCAGTTGTTTGTTGCGTTCCAGCTGTGGCTGCTTTGTATTTTCCTCCTCCTCCCTTTTATAGCTGTGCTCCATAAGCGCAACAACATCCACAAGAGGATTAGCCAGTCTGGGAATCAAACTCAGCTTCATCAGCCGCCTCTCCCCTCCCCGCTGCAAAACGTAAATCTCATGGCCCGCGGTACTGACGTCCACAATGTCACCAAGGTTGCCATGGTAACCAACAAGGGCGCAAGGCGAGGGGTCTAGGACCCACAGTCGTGACGTATCCCAGGTAACAAAAAATTCTTGAGTTGTCACGTCATCTGCTACGCTATAAGAAGCTGGGTGAGAGACGCATGATGCACAACTAACATCAGTGACGTCATGTTTTTCTTGCGAGCCTTGTCGTGTAACGTGGACCGCCGTTAACTGAGGCTGCGTAGAGGCTAGCTTGTCCTCTCCTTCTGATTCTTGGTTTTGCCCAGAGGATGTCTCACTATTCCTGTCACCTGAGTCGAAGTCCGACGAGATGTTGGACAACCTATTCAGTGTAGGGTCGAAACCGTCAGGGCAGTCGGACGGGTCATCTCCGTCCTTACGGTCGGGGGGTTGGGTAATGTCAGCTGCGGTTGGCTGATCTCTAATCCCGTCTTCGGTATCGGAGACTGTTTTGGATGAAGAATCTGAGAATGAAGCATATCCGCTTTACAATTTACTGCTTCCACTGCTTGTACTGCTCTCTAAACTGTTAGTAGAAATATAACTGAGGACATCAGCAGTTCCTTCCCCGGGTACCCACCCAGGGTCAACCGAACACGTGCTGTAAGCAGGGCTTGAAATAACGGCCGGCCAGTTGACAGTGTCCGGTCAAAAATAGGCTTTGTCCGGTCAAATTGTTGGATAACCGGACATTTGGTCTCGTTGTTTACACTTCTAATGGAAATGTCATTCAGAAACTTCAGATTTTAAAACAATAGAGATATGACGTAATAGACCTTTTTCCGGCCAAAAATGGGTTTGACCGGACAAACTGGACCGCCTCCATCCGGGAAGTTATTTCAAATCCTGACTGTTCAGTCTACTCTGATAAATCATTAGCAACGATAATATTCAGTGCATTGCACAACAGAAGCTCGAATAGCTCAAGAATACTTATATACCACACTAATAATGGCACAGCCTTCGCATATTCAAAGCTTAAAACTTTATTCAAACAACTTTCACGCCTTCAATGAGGCATCCTCTTCCCTCGTTGCTAGCTCCTGAATTGGTACTTTTAAAGAGGGTGAAGGACATTCTTGACACCAGTTATCTAAGGTATTCCTAAAGTTCTCTATCGCTAATGGTACGGAAAGACGGGCAACAAAAAACATGCAACCTTTCTTGCAACATTACTGCAAAACGAGTTGAACAGCGATGTTGCGCGTTTTACCACTAACATTAAACCTGTCTTGCAACAATTCAGGTTGTTAACAGGTTTGAACATGGGTGGTAAAACGCGCAACATCGCTATTCAAATTCAAATTTTTGCAGCAATGTTGCAAGACAAGTTGCACGTTTTTTGTTGCCCGTTTTTCGGTACCTTAAGTGAGAGAAGAAAACCTCTTTGAGTTTAGCTGTAAGAGTCCGCTATTATTGTGAAACGTAACAATAGCTTTCTTGTACTAAAAACATACCTTTGTTAGATTTTTTTTTGTTCCGCTTTTGTTTTCGAAACACGATCTCTCCAAAGTCTTGATGTCTTATATCTTGGTATCTTTTAAAAGGATCCACATGATCGACTGCCAGTGAACTACTTTTTTCGGACGCATCAAAAGTCCCTACTGAAACAGGCTCAGAGATCTTGTCCTGAAACACGCAAGTCGCGTAATACAGCATATCAGCTTGGACATTTTCTAAAATCGCCTTTCCAAAACAAGCGTGAAATAACGTAAAGAAACAGTTGTAGCAGAGTAGAGCTGCAAATGATTTATAATACAAATACAATGCAGTAGAGTTGACTAGGTTTCCCAAGAGGATGTTCCTGAGTTACAACGTTTTAACAATACTAACATTACAATAAAGGTGCAGCTACACACAGCTACAGGTATACCTCAATCCCAACAAACTACAAACTCACCAAAAAATTATTTAATCTGAACATAATAATTTCGAGCATTATGGGTTTTAAAAGTGACACACAGTATTGACTTTTACGTTTCGCTTTCTCTCCTGCCCTAGCTCTTGCCACTTTTTGTTTTTGTTGTTGTTAATGTTGTTTTTCTCTTTTGTAAGTAAGCTTCATTTTCGTGGGAAGAGTTGCAGGGAAAACTTTTGGAAAACGAGTTATCTGTTCTTGTACTTACATTGTTTACAAGTGGCAGTTGTTTGTTGCGTTCCAGCTGTGGCTGCTTTGTATTTTCCTCCTCCTCCCTTTTATAGCTGTGCTCCATAAGCGCAACAACATCCACAAGAGGATTAGCCAGTCTGGGAATCAAACTCAGCTTCATCAGCCGCCTCTCCCCTCCCCGCTGCAAAACGTAAATCTCATGGCCCGCGGTACTGACGTCCACAATGTCACCAAGGTTGCCATGGTAACCAACAAGGGCGCAAGGCGAGGGGTCTAGGACCCACAGTCGTGACGTATCCCAGGTAACAAAAAACTGCCCGTGCAACAGTCTCAGGGAGCCAAACTGGGGTTGATAGTCTGGTGGAAGTTTTGTCAGCGTGGGCGGTAAGGGGTTTAGTATCATTATACCCGGGGGATTTTCATTAGTCAAACCCTTGTACATTAGAGTTGACAAGACCTTCCCATTGGTGTCCGCAGTCCATAGGCGTTGGCCTGGCCTTGAGGTGTACACAGTCGGTTGCTTCTTCAACCTCTCGTCTGATGTTCCTCTTGCTGGAGGGTAGAACATGGCTCCAAATCGTCCTGGACTAAACGAGCAAAGCAAATACAGCATAATTAAATAAACTAGTAGTAATCATAGATTAGTGAGTGCGTCCGACTTCTCTTAGCTTTACCGTCAAGTATTAGTCCAAAATTAGGAAAAGGTGAAGCGAAACTGTTCTAAAAATAAAAATTCTTTCTATGCTCTCCGCGTAGACGGCTTCATATATTAAAAATAAAATATCTTATCCATCCTCGAGTATGGCCCACAAAAATGGCAAGTAGATCGTAAAAATCTACAGTATATTTTGTCCAGAAGGTTCTTTGCACTACACAGTTAGCCGTGGTTTTCTTTTGGTTACAAACAATAGTTAGCCAGCAGGAATAAAAACATATAAAAGGGTAAAAGAAATGAACAGCGGTACAATAATGGATGGCGCACAAACCTTAGGATAGGAATTAACTTCGACGTAGTTTTCCTCAGCAGAAAGCATTTCAAGCATTAATTACAGTGTAACCATTTTTTTTTTTCTTATTTAACCAAAAGAAAATGGGAGAATTTCATTAACATGCACTGACCTTTTCCTTTCTTTTTGTCCAACTTGAGTAACCTTCTCAGAATGAAAGTCCCACAGAACAGTCCTTTTCTCAGATGAAATCAAAAGAGCATCCCATGAATATGACAGCTGGACAATGGGAGAAGCCTCTTGTAAAATCATCGCCGTCTGAGTAAGTTCCTATTTGAGAAAAAAAAAACATTGTTTTTTAAGCTGATTTTTAACTTTTAAACATTTTTTGTGGCACACATTTCTTTGTTCATGGTTAAATGTCTAAGATCGTCAAATAGAAATCACCTTCTGCTTAACACTGGTATTTATGAACATTGAAATCTGTGGTTGAAAAGGTCAGGTGCAAACCAGAGAAGTTAAGTTGAGGAAAATGTAACGATAGTATACATGTAAAAAAAATGTCACATGCCAAAATTCAGGTCTTCTACAGTTAAAAAATAACGTTGTGGGATTAAAAAAAAAAAGGCATTTAGGTTATTCGTGCTCCCAGCTTTTTAATTGTACTACAGTTATTTACTTAACAAAGTGCTGTTTTACAATTTTATCACCATTGTTACTGTACTTCTAGATAGAACTAAACCATTTTAGTAAAATCCAGCTAGTGGTCTATTATCAATGCTGCGTTCTGATTGGTTGAGCTACTACTAGGCTATATCTCTAATATGTTATAGCCCACTAGTAGTGAAAAGTGCCAGCTTTGACAAAAACAATGGCGGCTGAATCGTGTTTTGCTATTTTTGACCAACAAGTTGGATTTTACAAAACCATTATTTCTCTCGTCCTCCTGGCCTCTGAGTCAATAGCCCATTTGGCCTTTGGTCTCATAGGCTTTTGACTCAGACGCCATGAGGGTGGGACAGGAATAATTGTTAAACAGTTATCATTAATACTGTGTTTGTTATTATTTTTTTTTGTACACAACATATTATTTACCTCCTGAAGCTTTACCACAGTGACATAAACTTTGCCCTGTACATCCCCACTGTAAAGCAGTTCTCCATCAGGGGACCACTCCAGACAGGTGACTGGACTGTTATGGGCCCCACTTACATGCATGGCCTGAAGCTACAGATACAGGTTGTAAATACCAGAATTATATTAAACGCTTACTAACCAGGCGCGATGGCTGTACTGCCACGTCCTTGGGCCAGTATTCCCCAGTACAGCCCTCGCACTAGGTTAGTAAGCGGAAACGTGCCTTATTGACCTAGCACGTGGTCAACATGGCTGTTTCTTGGCCAAGTTCATCTTTACATTTTTACAGATCAAAATGAATTTTAGCCTGTGTACAGATGCCCCCCTCCCCTCAGAAAAAATCAGGAGAGATTGAGGTCAATAAAAATGCAAAAAAGAACAAGGCCAACATCCAGCCATCTTGAACAAACATTAGCCTGGTCAATAAACGATTTATTATAATCAGGGTTTTCAACAGTTTTTGAAGTAAGAGTTGCGTTTATTTGAGTAGGAGTTGCAAGGCCCAGAGGGCCTTGCTCTCTAGGGGGGTCTGGGGGCATGCCCCCCCAAGGAAATTTTGAATTTCTAGACTCTTGAAGGCGCATTTTCCCGCATTTTGAGACGCAGAACTAGCAAATTTTAGATATCGAAAATACTGATAAATTTTGATGCTTTTAGTAACTTTATTAACCACAATATTAGGGTACGCTTTAACCACATTATTACCCGCAGCATCCTTTTTCTTTTTCTTGTTTGTCACTGTCAGCGACCACGTCTCCCGTAAACCACGCTGTCGCTTTTCTGCCATTCTGCCGTGTTCTTGGAGACGAAATGTGGCGTTTTATATAGAGTCGCTTCAGAAACCACTAACTACAATGTTCCCTGTAACTGAGACCCAGTCTTCGACTAGTCCTCAACATTACGCAGAGAACGTATTTTAAAAGCAGACTCAAGATGTTTTGGCGAAATTCTCCAGAAAAATTTCAAGTTTGCTTGCTCGCAACAGCTTTGTGAACACTTACCACTTTTTATCAAAAGTTTTATTTGTCATATAATTTACCTAAGGGAAAGTAGGCGTCGCAAATCAAAAAGTTGCCGTCGGATGCGACGGCCAACGGCTGATTTTGAAAACACTGATAATGGCCAAAAAGGGAACTTTTTCTTGTTAGATCAGTGCAAGAAACTGTGAGTGTTCCAGATGGTTCCACCTTGCCCCTCCAGGGTCACAAATAACAACACAGGATTCATTTCATCTTGCCACCCCATGGATTCAGCCACACAAATGGAATGACAACAGAGAAATCAATGCACATTAAACAAAATAGAGTGGCACAATAGGGGTATCAAACTGGGGTGGCTCAAAGTGGCTCAAACTCCTAATGTGACCCCCAAATGAAGGAAAAATCTGACAAAACATTGCAAAATGAACGAGGTGAGATTTAATGATGACTTTCCATAAATTATTCCAGAACCAACTAGATGGCTATATCTTAACTACATGTGCATCTATTCTCATTGTACCTTGCCAAATCCTTGTGAAGCCAAAACAAACGTAAAAATTGTGATTAGTCCACTGTTAAAGCCAACTGCTGCATAACTGTGGGCAGGCAAAAGCCGCACGCACTTGGCAGGCTCATGAGTTACCTAAAAAATACAAAAAAAATTCAGGTTTTCCCTACATCAGACCTATTTCCATAGTATGAAAATTAACGATTGGTGGTGTGCCAATAATCAATTTATTAGTACAATGTATAATCAGGCATTGATCAAAACTTTTAAGGGATGTGATAATCGATGATGGAAAACGCTCAATTGATGATCACAGAAAAAAGTAAATTTCTTGTTAGCAACTAAACATATTGAAAACTTGTGTATTGTCTAAATTAAAGACCATAGATAATTTGATCACCTGAGTTCAGTGGTCCATGATCAAAAAACCGCCAATAAAGTTTGTATTACATGTAATTTGACTTGCACAAAGGTAAAAATTTATAAATAGAATTGTTGCAGAGATTTTTTGAACTTATAATCAATGATCCATGAGGCAGGTCAATCCGGTCAGCCAACATGTACATGTACATGTAGTATACATTGGAACCTCTTATTTGGGACACCTCAATTCAGGGACTACAAAATTTGTTCCTGGAAAAATGTTGATAGGATCTTTGTACATGTTACCTCTATTGAAGGCACACCTCTATTCAGGGGAAATGGACACTGTTTCTAGGTCCCGAAACCAGGGTTTAACCTCCATTCTGGGGAAACCTTTCCTTAATTAGCACCCAGAAAGTGACAGACCAGAAACATTTGTTGATACATGCAAGTTTAAGTGTTCACTAGTCACAATGGCAAAAGCTTTATTCAAAACTTGAACTACATGTATCTCACTTAAAATCAATGTACTGCACTTTTAACACACAACATTGAAGAGATAAGTTATTTATGATTTTTTACACATTATCTAGCTGCTTGAAATAATGACTGCAGCAGATTGCAAGCCAGAGTAAAAGCACATTTTATACTTTATTTGTCGGTTAATTATTAGTCAAGAAGAAAAAAAACAGACACTTGTGTTAGTCCCAAGGGTGTCTCCTGAAAAGAGGTTGCACTGAAAAGTAGAAACTATACCACATGCTCTAAGCAAAAAAAACTCACCTCTGATGGAAGTTTTGACAGTCTCTTACAAGTCCGATCATACAGGAAAATAGCTCCTAAATTTGTGCCAAGCACTATAGCATCAAATGAAACATCCAAACAAGTGTACTCGATCGTGAAGGATTTAAAATTGTCATGAGCTCTCTCTTTCAGGGCATTGAACAAGTTCTTTACTCCATGTCCTTTGGTACGGTCCCAGACATGACCCATTAAGTTCTTAGTTCCATACTGTGCTTTATATGGTAGACAACTGAGGATATCTTTCAGTGGTTCTAACTCAGAAAGGACAATGTCCCTCCCAATGACAAAATCTAGAGGTAAGCAACACATTACATTATTAAACCTAGCTGTAATGGGAAACACTAAGTCTTAATCACTTTGTCTGATGCAAGTTTCATTTGCAGCCAAAAACAGTTTGTTTCAGGTAAACTGTATTGTTGAGAAAGCCAGGCATTGTTAGTATCAATTTTCATGTTTGCGTTTAATACAGAGGCCATGTTAGGGTAAAATTCCAACAAACAACATGGTTTCAAAACAGTGACATAAGACCAGATGAAATGGTGACAAATGATTTAAAGTTAGGCTACAGTACAGGCCACAGGCATTGCAGCATTACACGCATGTTTCATGCGTGGAAATCCGCCATATTGCATGCAAATTCCACGAGAAAAACACTCGTGAAACCCTCGTGTAAAAATATACACGCAAAGATACACAAGAAAATACACGCAAATAAGGAAAATTTGCATGTAAAACTTGACACGCAGATCGTTATAATTTGCGTGTATTCGGTTTATTTGAGTTCTTACATCGCTGGCTAAGCGAGTGCAGTTGTACTTGTGCAGGTGGCTTTAATTTGTTAGCATAAATCAAACTTTCAAGGCACGTTCAAATGTTAGAATTTTATGTTATCGGGGCTAAAAGTGATCCAAGTTTTTTGACCAAATGAACATTGTTTTTAATATTTTTAATTTATGTTCTTCGCTTGACTCTTCATTTGTAGACTTCACAGAGGTTATAAAAAGGTTTCAACTAAAATCAGTTTCAGTTATCAATTTGCAACTATTTTGATGGATCAACTACTCTGTAATGTGACACTGTAATTTACATCTCTGTTTTGGTGAAGGATCACTTAGTTCTACATATATTTTGTTTACGGCATTTAGTTAGCTCGCTGCTTTGAGTTATTTTCTTCTGCAGCAATCTCCTTTCTCCTTCCTGCAATGTTGGTACGAAATGAGAAAAAACTTGTTATTTTGGCAAATATTTAAATTTCTTTACGCAACACAGGCGTCACTCAGTCGCCAAATTGCGAAATCAAACCTTCTATCCATCCCGATTGTTCAAATTCTCGCTAACTGGAACATCGCGCTTACTCAAGTCGATTTCTCCTGGAATTCCTTCATACAGCCAGTTACTGTAATTTACCCTAGCTAACTTAACGTAATTTTTGTTTCCCTTCAGATAATTTCTCTACAATTTTACCCTCGATAACTCGAACCATGTATTATAAACAAGTCTGAACTGAAAAAAACAGCATACTGAAGTCTGAGCCCGAGAGTCCAAGTACCTGCTACGTAAGCTAAAACATTGAACTTATTTCAAAACAACAGTCGTAGCAAGAAACATGCATCCAAGTTTACATGTAAAATAGCACTTCAGCCAACAGCCAAGGAAATCGTTGATTAGCATGATCGTAGTAAGAGAAACTGTACAGAAAGTTGTTTTCTTTTTCACCACAATGTTGGTTTCTAATTTATATCAGCCACATTTGCTGTTACACGCAACTTGCGTGTATTTTGATAAGGAAAATCAGTCACCTTAAAAATACACTCAAATTTGCGTGTAAAAAGTTTGCGTGTAAAGGCTCGCGTAAAAATTTACACGCAAGTTTTTTGCATGGACTTTTCATGGAAATCCACCATATTGCACGCAATTTACGCATGTGTAAGTGCTGCAATGCCCATGGCCTGTACTGTAAGTACCGACAGGGACATGGCCTACTCCTCAAAATGCGAAACAACTGTATTTGAAATTCAAATTCAGGACATACGTACCCCCTTTCAAGTTTGCTTGCTCGCAACAGCTTTGTGAACACTTACCACTTTTTATCAAAAGTTTTATTTGTCATATAATTTACCTAAGGGAAAGTAGGCGTCGCAAATCAAAAAGTTGCCGTCGGATGCGACGGCCAACGGCTGATTTTGAAAACACTGATAATGGCCAAAAAGGGAACTTTTTCTTGTTAGATCAGTGCAAGAAACTGTGAGTGTTCCAGATGGTTCCACCTTGCCCCTCCAGGGTCACAAATAACAACACAGGATTCATTTCATCTTGCCACCCCATGGATTCAGCCACACAAATGGAATGACAACAGAGAAATCAATGCACATTAAACAAAATAGAGTGGCACAATAGGGGTATCAAACTGGGGTGGCTCAAAGTGGCTCAAACTCCTAATGTGACCCCCAAATGAAGGAAAAATCTGACAAAACATTGCAAAATGAACGAGGTGAGATTTAATGATGACTTTCCATAAATTATTCCAGAACCAACTAGATGGCTATATCTTAACTACATGTGCATCTATTCTCATTGTACCTTGCCAAATCCTTGTGAAGCCAAAACAAACGTAAAAATTGTGATTAGTCCACTGTTAAAGCCAACTGCTGCATAACTGTGGGCAGGCAAAAGCCGCACGCACTTGGCAGGCTCATGAGTTACCTAAAAAATACAAAAAAAATTCAGGTTTTCCCTACATCAGACCTATTTCCATAGTATGAAAATTAACGATTGGTGGTGTGCCAATAATCAATTTATTAGTACAATGTATAATCAGGCATTGATCAAAACTTTTAAGGGATGTGATAATCGATGATGGAAAACGCTCAATTGATGATCACAGAAAAAAGTAAATTTCTTGTTAGCAACTAAACATATTGAAAACTTGTGTATTGTCTAAATTAAAGACCATAGATAATTTGATCACCTGAGTTCAGTGGTCCATGATCAAAAAACCGCCAATAAAGTTTGTATTACATGTAATTTGACTTGCACAAAGGTAAAAATTTATAAATAGAATTGTTGCAGAGATTTTTTGAACTTATAATCAATGATCCATGAGGCAGGTCAATCCGGTCAGCCAACATGTACATGTACATGTAGTATACATTGGAACCTCTTATTTGGGACACCTCAATTCAGGGACTACAAAATTTGTTCCTGGAAAAATGTTGATAGGATCTTTGTACATGTTACCTCTATTGAAGGCACACCTCTATTCAGGGGAAATGGACACTGTTTCTAGGTCCCGAAACCAGGGTTTAACCTCCATTCTGGGGAAACCTTTCCTTAATTAGCACCCAGAAAGTGACAGACCAGAAACATTTGTTGATACATGCAAGTTTAAGTGTTCACTAGTCACAATGGCAAAAGCTTTATTCAAAACTTGAACTACATGTATCTCACTTAAAATCAATGTACTGCACTTTTAACACACAACATTGAAGAGATAAGTTATTTATGATTTTTTACACATTATCTAGCTGCTTGAAATAATGACTGCAGCAGATTGCAAGCCAGAGTAAAAGCACATTTTATACTTTATTTGTCGGTTAATTATTAGTCAAGAAGAAAAAAAACAGACACTTGTGTTAGTCCCAAGGGTGTCTCCTGAAAAGAGGTTGCACTGAAAAGTAGAAACTATACCACATGCTCTAAGCAAAAAAAACTCACCTCTGATGGAAGTTTTGACAGTCTCTTACAAGTCCGATCATACAGGAAAATAGCTCCTAAATTTGTGCCAAGCACTATAGCATCAAATGAAACATCCAAACAAGTGTACTCGATCGTGAAGGATTTAAAATTGTCATGAGCTCTCTCTTTCAGGGCATTGAACAAGTTCTTTACTCCATGTCCTTTGGTACGGTCCCAGACATGACCCATTAAGTTCTTAGTTCCATACTGTGCTTTATATGGTAGACAACTGAGGATATCTTTCAGTGGTTCTAACTCAGAAAGGACAATGTCCCTCCCAATGACAAAATCTAGAGGTAAGCAACACATTGCATTATTAAACCTAGCTGTAATGGGAAACACTAAGTCTTAATCACTTTGTCTGATGCAAGTTTCATTTGCAGCCAAAAACAGTTTGTTTCAGGTAAACTGTATTGTTGAGAAAGCCAGGCATTGTTAGTATCAATTTTCATGTTTGCGTTTAATACAGAGGCCATGTTAGGGTAAAATTCCAACAAACAACATGGTTTCAAAACAGTGACATAAGACCAGATGAAATGGTGACAAATGATTTAAAGTTAGGCTACAGTACAGGCCACAGGCATTGCAGCATTACACGCATGTTTCATGCGTGGAAATCCGCCATATTGCATGCAAATTCCACGAGAAAAACACTCGTGAAACCCTCGTGTAAAAATATACACGCAAAGATACACAAGAAAATACACGCAAATAAGGAAAATTTGCATGTAAAACTTGACACGCAGATCGTTATAATTTGCGTGTATTCGGTTTATTTGAGTTCTTACATCGCTGGCTAAGCGAGTGCAGTTGTACTTGTGCAGGTGGCTTTAATTTGTTAGCATAAATCAAACTTTCAAGGCACGTTCAAATGTTAGAATTTTATGTTATCGGGGCTAAAAGTGATCCAAGTTTTTTGACCAAATGAACATTGTTTTTAATATTTTTAATTTATGTTCTTCGCTTGACTCTTCATTTGTAGACTTCACAGAGGTTATAAAAAGGTTTCAACTAAAATCAGTTTCAGTTATCAATTTGCAACTATTTTGATGGATCAACTACTCTGTAATGTGACACTGTAATTTACATCTCTGTTTTGGTGAAGGATCACTTAGTTCTACATATATTTTGTTTACGGCATTTAGTTAGCTCGCTGCTTTGAGTTATTTTCTTCTGCAGCAATCTCCTTTCTCCTTCCTGCAATGTTGGTACGAAATGAGAAAAAACTTGTTATTTTGGCAAATATTTAAATTTCTTTACGCAACACAGGCGTCACTCAGTCGCCAAATTGCGAAATCAAACCTTCTATCCATCCCGATTGTTCAAATTCTCGCTAACTGGAACATCGCGCTTACTCAAGTCGATTTCTCCTGGAATTCCTTCATACAGCCAGTTACTGTAATTTACCCTAGCTAACTTAACGTAATTTTTGTTTCCCTTCAGATAATTTCTCTACAATTTTACCCTCGATAACTCGAACCATGTATTATAAACAAGTCTGAACTGAAAAAAACAGCATACTGAAGTCTGAGCCCGAGAGTCCAAGTACCTGCTACGTAAGCTAAAACATTGAACTTATTTCAAAACAACAGTCGTAGCAAGAAACATGCATCCAAGTTTACATGTAAAATAGCACTTCAGCCAACAGCCAAGGAAATCGTTGATTAGCATGATCGTAGTAAGAGAAACTGTACAGAAAGTTGTTTTCTTTTTCACCACAATGTTGGTTTCTAATTTATATCAGCCACATTTGCTGTTACACGCAACTTGCGTGTATTTTGATAAGGAAAATCAGTCACCTTAAAAATACACTCAAATTTGCGTGTAAAAAGTTTGCGTGTAAAGGCTCGCGTAAAAATTTACACGCAAGTTTTTTGCATGGACTTTTCATGGAAATCCACCATATTGCACGCAATTTACGCATGTGTAAGTGCTGCAATGCCCATGGCCTGTACTGTAAGTACCGACAGGGACATGGCCTACTCCTCAAAATGCGAAACAACTGTATTTGAAATTCAAATTCAGGACATACGTACCCCCTCTCCCCC